AGTAGTTACTCATCCCTGATACCTTGAGTGTGGTTTCCCACGCAGAGGGTTCACTGACTACAGAGCAACCTGTGGGTTAATTCTTGAAACATGATCCTGATGGCATGCACAATCTGTTAATGCCTTTAAGCTCTTTTTATTATTTGTTAGATAAGATTATGATGTGGCTGGGTCATGTGCGTTACATTGCTTTTTAATATACGATTGGGACTTGTGTCCATGCTTGATTCAGAACCAAACCGACCAACCAAACAAGCAAAATAAAAGGATTATGAAAGTGTATTCTGGTGAGGGAAAATCTGCGAGAAGAAAAATTATGAACCAGGGGTTCCTTTGCTCAGCCCTTTTCTGTTATTTCATGATCAGAAGCTTATGTTCAAGACAAGGGAGCGGTTTTCCATGTAGTTATTATTGTGGCAACACGTGGTCCCTTACTATAGGTGTTAATATCTCACTAACAACTTTCCAATCTGCCCAACTTCATAGTAGATATATAATACAATATTATATTACATACCTTTTAATAAATTATAACTTAGAGCTCAGAAAAGCAAATGTTTCAATTCAGTAACATATTTCATCTATTTTACTTGGAGACATTTTAGAATAGGTTGTGCTGAAGATTTTAAACAATGACATCAATAAATTCCTCTTATAACTAGCTCAATTAACATGAAGGATTTTTTCATCACTGCTGAAACTTGAGGCAAATGTCTTTACAGTATTGTTTAGATTCCAATTAAAAGCCCAAAGAGATTTCCTAGGAAAAATAAAAGTAAAGGCTTGGATTGGCCTTGGAAGAGGGAGCCATGCTATAACTGTAAAGTTGTTGCAAAGTTGCAGGATCAGAGGAGATGATAGACATTCTCCTCATGAAGTCATCAAAAGGATAACACTTGGTTCAGCCTCAGAATCTCATCCCAAATCTCTCTCTCTCTCTTTCTGTCTCTCTCTCTCCCTGTCTCTTTTTGAGACAGGGTCCAGCTATGTAGTGCTGACCGGCCTACAACTCACTATGTAAACAAAACCACAACCCTTATTTTTAATATTTAAAATTAATTTGTGTGTGCATGTGCATGTCTGTATCTGTATATGCATGTATAAGCACCACATATGTGCACATGCCCATGGAGGCCAGCAGAAGTATCAGATCCCCGGAACTAGAGTTTCAGATGGGAGAGAGTCACCATGTGAGTGCTGGGAACTGAACTCAGGTCCTTTGCAAGAGCAGCTAGTGTACCTAACTTCTGAGCCATCTCCCCAGCCTTTCCTTCCAAACTTTATAGTGCCCAATGAACTATAATCCTACTAAAATTTTCATGTCCAGGATATAAAGGAATGGCCTAAGAAGAAACTGTGTATTCAGACTTGCTGTTCTGATGAATAAAAACATTTGCATGACTCATTGAAATGGTGTGTCTTTAGCCACAGAGTTTTGCATTAAAATCGCATTATATAATATGATAACTAAACATATCCCTCAAATTCTTTTAAAACAGATATTTTTCAGCATCTAAAAATCAATTGGTAACAGCAAAATGTTACTCAAAATAAAATTAAATATTTTCATATACTATTGATGCACAGGTCAACTCTCTTCATACAGATATGTAAAAATATAGAGTAAGAACTTTTTACTAGATACAAATATTTCGTTTCCTCTTATTCGTACTTTTGTATAAACTCATCCCTCAGTACAGTCTAAACCTACTGATTCATTTCTAATGACTCACATATGGCAGAAGTCATAGGATGTTACACTCATGATAAAAAGATTATATTATCCTAATCTCTTTTTGTCTCTGTTACTGCTTTTTGTTGACTCATCTGACCTAGTGAACTCAGGGAGGCAGGCTGGCGGGGCTGGCTCCAGGTCATGAATGCCAAGGCCAGCCAGCTGTGCAGTCTGATCATGGGAGTCAACCCACGCACTCTCATCATAACCGAATAGAGCAAGCCAGTCCCTCCTTTTCCTTATAAGGGATCACATCTGCACACCTGAAGTCATGCCCCTAGTATGTGGCCACCACTGCAAGTTCACTGGCAAAGCAAGATTCCACTACTATCCTGAAATGTTCTTATCTGTTATATTACAACTTCGTGGTGACAGCTAATACTTTGCTTTAGTATTTTGATATTGTTCTAGCTCTTTCATGTGAGTCAGCCTGATTACCAGGGTATGAGGTGTATTCAAGAAGAAAAGGAAAGAAAGACAGATGTTGATAAAACATTGACATTAGTGGCCCATGATTAGTTCCTGTCATATTAGAATAAACTCTGGAATGTTCACTCACAGAAAGAGACTTGGAGATAATTAGTTAAGACAGGGTATTGGCCAAAAGTGATGTCTGCATGTATGAGTCATGAAACATTAGATAATGATGTTGTGTGCTGAAGCATCTATTAGTAAAGGAACATTTTGACCATGTAAAATTTCAGATTCTAATGAGATATCCAGTTAATCCCTGGTATGGAGCTTGGGACTTTTGGAGAGAGATTTTGGATAGATAGGTTGTTGGGAAGTAACCAGTATGTGTTTTGAAATAGAAATTTAAAAAGTATATAAGTTTGCTTATGACAATTAAGAAGAAATGATGTCAAGAACTTAAATCATTATCAACAGGTCTTGAAATATCCAGTGTCCAATTAGGGGGGAGACTTAAGACATTAGTTAGAAGATAAGAGGGTAATGTAACAGCTGATGTTTCCAAAAAAGAAATGGTTAAAAATCATAAATCGTTTTGAGAAGTCACATAGGACTTTAAAATGGAAGTAATAAAAAATGGAAGTAACCAGTAATAAACAAACAAATAAACAAAAAACCAAATAATCTTTCAAGGGTAACTTTGTCAAAGGTGAAACACAGAGAAGCAAGCTGAGGAACAGGGACTTGTGGTGAATGAGGAGTTTAACTTTAACCCTGCACAGATGTAGGCAACTTGTGTCTCAAAATACAAGTTTGAGATAAAGTGTGACTGAAAAACGAGGAGATCTGACAAACAGAAAATCAAGGAATCATGAAATTCTGACAGTAGATGTGTCTTCCCCTTTGGCATTAAACCATTCAGGAGTGTTAGTGGAGAGTATCCCTCTTTACTGGAGAGAAAGATATGGAATTTTGTGCTGAACTCTTCCAGCAACCCAAGTCAGATGCTTGGAGAGACATGTGCCCATGAACAATGTGCCCTGTTTTTACAACATACAATTTCATTTATATTAAAGTTTGGCTTCAAATCACATTGACTATGAATTTAAAACCTTAGTAAAATACTAAATTACCTAATATACTACTATAATGTTAAAATTCTTATGAGACAAATATTGTTAAGTTGGAACTAATTTAAAAAGCTTTCATATAAGCAAATCAAATTCTAAGTGGCATTCTTTGCTTTCCTTTTCCCTTTACCTGGATAACTTGGTGCTTTGTATCTGGCAAAGACACAATTAGTTTGGGTTTATCAGAACTTTCTCTTACAGGCTCCGTTGAAATGAATAAGATATTTGGCGCTATGGTGTGACACAATCTTTCTGGCTCATACCCTACCTTACCATACTCATCATTTGGGAATTCCTCTAATCATTGCAGTCTTTGTGATTACTTTTTCTCCTCGTTGGGATATCGAACATTTTAGCTGTTCCTTTGTGCTGTTGGAAGTCTCCAGAGGACACAGTGTTTCACTGATTTTCTCTTTTGCCTAGATGTTCCACTGCTAAAAATGTACTTGAGTGCCTTGTTAAAAATGAAACTTCTAAAAGGTCAGCTCTTCCTAAAGGTTTTTTCTAATGAATGCCAGGAGGGGTTACTTTGCTCAGCGCCCCCTTCACCCTTCCTTCTCAGCCTTTCATTTGGTTATGCTATCATAAGGGCTCTACCTGTGGCAATGATAGGCAACAGACACACATAACAAAGTTTATTTATTCTATTGTTCTCTTTTTTCAACATTTTCTCCCTCTGACTGAATCAACTTCATCTGTTGTCAAGATTTTCCAGAGAATTTTTTATCTAAATTATTTAGGTAGTTTGATGTTTTATTATTATTTATTTGAATGTAAGATATTTTGTAGTAAAATGGTAATAAAATAAATATTTCTTCTCCAAGAAGTGGATCCAAAAAGTCCAAACTCTTCAGAGTTTAAACTGTTTCTGCTCTGCACTTCATAAATTCTATTTGAAAATATATTTGATTTCTTAAAATCACCCATTCCATTATTTGCACTTTTGATAGGATCCTTTTTCTTCCTGGTCAGATTATTGTTATGCAATAAAAATGAAAGGAATTATCAACTTACAATTTGATCTCCCTACAACAGAAACAAAGCAGGTTAGCTAGTGACCTACAAGAGAGCAAAGTCTGCTGGCCTCCTGGTTCATATTATTATAATGTTGGGGCAAAGAAACTAAGGCACAGAACAGAATTTGGAAACTGAGTTTGTACTTCACTATTTTTCCCTTCAAGCATGGGATTGCCTCCACAAGAGATTTTGGGGGAGATACTGATTTTGAAATGGAGCAGCAATTTAAAGAAAATAGTTAAAAAAATAAAGAATGTACTAGTTGTATTATTAGCTGAGCTAACAAGAAATTCACTTGCTGATAAGTGAAATAAGTAAAATGTCCTAATTAAAAATATATGTATAAAATATAGCATGGACCATGACAGGATAACATCTACCTTAATTTATTCTCAACGATCATTTTTCACAAGTCTCTCATTTTTATAATGGTTATTAGGAGATTTTCCTATTTGAGAATTTAATTTAATTGTAATATTTCTCTCTTCCTTCCCCAAACTCTCCCATAAGATCCTCCCTGTTCCTCTTCAATTTTGAGCACTCAGGAATCCTAAAGAAACACTAGAGTCAAAGCCATAATCTATATTCATAGAACCTGATGCAGACCTGTGCAGGCCCTGTAAATGCTGCCTCAGTCTCTGTGAGTTCTTATGAGCTTTGGTCCTGTTGATTTTGGGGGCCTTGTTTTCTTGCTGTCATCTATCTCTTTACACTCTTTCAGGCTCCTCTTCATCCTCCTCTTCCAATTGGTTCTCTGATCCCTGAAGACAGGGATTAAACAGAGCCACCCCATTTAGGCTTGTGTGTTCCAAGGTCTTTCACTCTCTGCATGTCTGGCTGTGGGTGTCTGTATGTGGTCTCATCAGGATCAGTAGGAAGCTTCTCTGATGATGGCAAAGCAGAGCACTGATTTATGAGGATAGCAGAATATTTTATGGATAAGGTTATTTTACTGATAAAGTTTTTTGGTTGTTGTTGTTGCTGTTTATTTTTTCAAACCAATAATATTTAGATTTACCTTGGGCCCCTAACATGTTGGAAGCCCCAAAACTGGAGTTACTATGAGCCACTACAGGTGCTGGGTTCCAAACCCAGATCCTTAATATGCTCTCTTAACTGCTGTTCTGTGTCTCCATCCCCCTAACTCAGAGTCTGTAATTGATATTTGATCAAAACCGTATCAATGTTTTTGTATACTCTGCTGTAGGTTTAGCAGTTTCCTCAAGATAAATTCATCCATGTTGGAGGGGAGCTTGTTAAGACACAGGATATTAAAGTGAGGAGAAGCAACAGGATATTCTAAGGGAGGGTGAGACATTACATCTTGAAGGGATGCACTTTTAACCTAGGAAGTAAACAACTTAGAGTCTTCAGGAAGTCCCTGAAACTGACCAGATTCACTACCCTTCAATACTAACCAAGCATATATAAATAGTAAAAGACAACGGCAAGCAGGGCAATGGTCCAGGTGTGGTAAGAAGGAAACTTGGTTCAATTTGACTTTGTTAACTGACACTGGTTCAAACTTCTGGAGTCTGTTGCCAAGTGAATCATATTTTGCTTACTTAAACACAGTAAAACTTAGAAAAACATTCCTTGTGACAATTATCACAATGAAGTTTTAGGCATGGCTTCATTGAAATTCCTTTGCAAGATATATCTCTTTAGCAAAGCACCTGAGACCTTTCCCACAAGAAAGATTTGTACTGACTGATAAACAATGTTCAGGATAAGGGCCTAGGGAGGGGGGATTTGTAATAAGTATAAGGATGGATTCTGTTGATTGAGAAACAATGCTTCAGAGTTTGGGCCAAGGGAGGGAGTCTTTGTAATAAGCATAACAGCAAACTCTTTTGCAAAGTACATAAGTTTTCTTACATGAGGATAGGTTCTATTGTCCAAGAAACAATGTTCAGGATGCTGTGGGATTCAGGTGAGTGATGGCTCCAAAGACTAGTAGAAGATCACCAGATTATTAAACAACATCTTTTCCAGCCTTCTGAGTAAACAGGTGTCAACTTCTTCCACTGAAGTAAAAGGCCTGTGAGCTGAACAATTCTCATTTCTCTAGTGCTTATCTGAGAGCATGTGGAACTCCTGTCTGTCTGCAGAAGAGCACATGTATCTCCTGTCCTTCTGCAGGGGGCATCCCATTTAAGTTCTACTCCTCAATCCCATAGGCTTGTGGCCATATTATAATGCAAAGTGCATTTAGTCTAACTCCAAAAGTATCATAGTCATTTAGAATCTCAACAGTATTTAAAAGTTCAAAGTCTAAAGTCTTTTCTGAGACTGTAGGAAGTCTCTTAATTGTAACCAACCCATAAAATAACAAGAGCAAATTACATACTTCCAACACATAATGGCAAAGTGCATACACTAGTTTTCCAAAAAACAGAATTAGGGATGGGAACAAGAGTTCCTAGGAAGAAGGTGTGTCTGCACAGACTGATTAACTAATTAGAACTTCAGTGATGTGGTGAGGTTGGAATGTTGCAGGTCCAGAGGCTAATTACCTTACCTGGGCTAGCATTAGCTCCCTGAATATCCAATACTTGCCTACCCTTGTGTCAGAACTAACATTCTGTAACTAATAGATTAAAGCCTTTTGAAACCTAATGACTTATCACATAACTAGCTGCCACTAACTCAAGAGATAACAATATATTTGACAGCAAATGAGGTCTATAAAAAAGCTCTTTCCATGTTGTTGTAACCACCTCTCTGATGTACCCAGTGATATAATTATACTTGCTTTTATTTATGACTTTGTTTCTTCTGTAAAACTTCATGAAACCAATTCTACTTGGGAACAAGGAATCTGTTTAACCAGGGCACAGTCACTCAAAATAGTTCCAGAATAAACTATCTCTTATTCCTTTTAGGGTAAGAGCTGTTTTGTTTTTGTTTGTTGGTTGGTTGGTTTTGTTTTTGTTGTTTTTTGCCAGATCGAGGAAACACTTGCCCAAAGCAAATCTGGAACTCATTAGGTCCTAAGGCTGGTTTGGTTCTTCACTGTCCTCAAAGCCTGTCCCAGTGATAGAATTCTTCCAGCAGGATCACACAATTTTAAACCTACCCAAGCAGCAGCACCAACTGGGAACTGAGTATTCAAATACTTGAGACTTTGGGGAACAACTTATTCATACCATGTAGTAGTGTAAATATAATTGTCTCCCATAGTCTCATACGGAGTGGCACTATTAGGAGGTATGGCTTTGTTGGAGTGACTATGACCTTGTTAGAGGAAGTGTGTTACTGTGGGGGCAGGCTTTGAGGTTTCCTCTTTTCAGGATACCGCCCAGTGAGTCAGTTAACTTCCTGTTACCTGCAAGCCGAGATGTAACCAGCACTACATCTGCCTGAACTTCATCATGTTCCCTGTCATGATGACAAAAGACTGAACCACTGAAATGGTAAGTGAGCCACCCCAATTAAATGTTTTCATTTATAAGAGTTAGTGTGGTCATGGTATCTCTTGACAGCAATAGAAACCCCAACTAAGACAAACCACTACATCCATATTCCTTTAAGCGACTCTAATAAAACTTATTGCTTTACCAAGTTGGATTTGGTGGTAACCCTACTTTGGTCTGTTGTCTATCATTATTAGTTCCCTATATGATATGAGAAGATGTTTGTCTCTCCAGGAAGTGTCACACAACACCCATAAAATACTTAACATAATATTATTGACAAAACAATATTTTAAAGATGTCTTCAAATGATTTTTCCCAACTGTAAAATGCCTCTTCATCCCTCTTTGATTACATTTCTTTTGGTTCAGTCTCCATTTCTTAGTATGGGATAAGGAGTGGGTTCTGTGTGGTGCTCTAGTCTCATTGTTAAAGGCATGTCCCATAGCAAGTGGTTCACTTGACTAGGAGATTTACAGTGTTGTAAAACTGTCTTTCTTTTTTCTAGTCCTTCAGTTTGTTTCAAACACACTAATATCAAGGTCAGATCATGGTTGATTATGGCAGGGCTGTGTTATCAGAAAAACCTTTGAGACTATTTGTATTGGTATTACAGTTTCTTCAGAACATTGACTCTCATTTTCAGATAATATTCCCTATAAAACATCTGTCTTTACATTCAGAAACGGTCAGTGTCAGCATGGCCAGAACTAAGAATTTCCCTATTGGTCTCCTGTCCCTGCACTTCAGCTTTCTGCATTTTCTAACCTGCTGTTTTCCTGGTGGGAAGAGAGATCTCCTACAAGAGACACCCAAGAAATGACTAAAAATAATGTATTTTTACCTAATTTAAGCAGAAAAGCAAACTCATCATCTCTAAGAATCAGTCAAATTGATGACTAGAATCACAGTATTTGTAATAACAAATGTATTCCACTAAGATGAAGGAACTACTTCTTACCCAAGATTTTTTGGTCTTTGTATCAGTGAGTTATTGGTTACAACTTCATCATGTTTCATGTCAAGCTATGACCTGGGATTTCTTTCCTTTTGTTAAACAGCTATATAAATTATATATACATTATATACATATACATACATATAATATAAATACACACTATAAATGTATTTTATTTAACATTTAGAATTTTTCTGTTTTGTCATAAACATATGATCTTTATTTGGAAGTTACCAACAGGTCATAGAAATGAAATGGAAAGCATTAGCTGACATTAAATAATTTTGACCATCTATGCATTTGGCATGTTTTGTTAACTTGATGCCTTGGGATATGTGTTTTAACAGGTAATAAATTATTAGTACTAGAATATCTAATTTTCAGAATGTCTCCATAGAATATAATTTTGTATGCACATGTACTATGTTGGGTTGATTTTATTCACAAAAGGCCCAATTAGGTGGTAAAAAAGGAAGTAAAACATTCTATGATCTAAAATTCTCCTCTGAAGAAACTTCCTTTCTCAGCCATGTGTCTGATATCCAATATGGATGGGTAATTCACTCAGTATGCCACAAGAATTCTAATTATTTCAACTGAGTAAAGTTATTAAAATTAGGAAAGTAGTAACAGATTGAACTACATGGGAAAGAAATTTGAAGTGTTCACATTCATAATTGTGAGCACCCAAATATAAGAACATTGTAATTTTTAATAATTTTGTAAATGTCATTTTCAAATTTCTTCTTACACGAACTAAGATATTTGCAGTCTGTCTGACTGATTTCGTTTTCTCAGTTTGAAATAAGCTAGAGTTATCCGAGAAGAGGGAATGCAACTGGGAAACAACCTTTTTGAGATTGGTCTGTGGGAATTTCCTTGGTTTATGATTGATGTGGAAGGGCACAGCTCACTGTGGGAGGTGTCATGCGTGGGTCATGTATAAGAAAGGTGTTATGCATAAGAGCAAGCATGTTGAGCAAGCCATGAATGAATAAGCCAATGAGCAGTGTTCATCCATGGCCTTTCCTTTAGTTCCTGCTTCCAGTTTCCTGTCTTGATCACCTGCCTTGGCTTCCCTCAGTGGACTGTGACTCAGGATGTATAAGCCAAAAAGATGGTTCCTCACTAAGTTGCTTTTTGTTGTGTTTAATCTCAGCAGCTACATTAAAGAAAGAGTGTTAAAGTTTAGTGGCCAAAACTTACTAGGGGAACTTGGTGCTTGAAACTTACAGCTTCCCTTGTAGCTCCCTTCCTGTTAATTTCTTTTCTTACTCTTGTTGGATGCTGTGGCCAAGCAGATGTTTCAGCAAACAACCCATTCCACTCTGCTCACACCTTTTCAGCAGAGATTTAAATCACTTGCTCATGTTTATCTTCTGGCTGG